GTTTCAGCCCCATACAGAGCTATGCTCCAAATGTAGCATTTCACTAGTTTCTTCCTCAAATTTAAGTCCAATTTGCTGGTAAAAAGATTCTTCTTCTTGCTAAATGCAGCTTTTGCCATGGCAATCCTGGATTTAATTTCACAAGTACACCTTCCATCATCTGTTAACAAGCTACCCAAATATTTAAAACATTTCACATTCTCCACTTGTTTTTGGTCTATCTTTATTGTGACTGGGGTTGGTTGTCTCGAAATTTTCATTACTTTTGTTTTCTCCACATTCATTTCCATGCCATAGCACCTTCCAATTTCAATTAGTCTATCAATCATGCCCTGTAGCACAGTTTCTTCCTTAGCCATTAACACAAGGTCATCTGCATATTTCACAGTTTGAATAATTTGCCCTCCTACTTTGAAGTCACCGAGCCCATCCAGAGCTTCCTTGGTAAGGCATTCGCTGTACAAGTTGAACAGAATTGGTGATAAACAGCATCCTTGTCGAACTCCTCTTCCAATCTGCACACTTCCTGTCTCCCCCCTGTCCAGTCGTACTCTAACTTTCTGATCCATGTACAATTTGCTAATCAATCTTCTTTCATGCCAATCGATACCTGTTTCTTTCAGGATCTGCATTAATTTGGTCCAGTTTACCCGGTCAAATGCCTTCTGCCAGTCTATGAAGCAAACACACAGTTCTTCATCTATCTCCAAAGTTCGTTCCGCTATAATTCTCATCATCCCAATTGCATCCCTGGTTCCTTTTCCTCTTCTAAATCCAAACTGATCTTCTCCAAGTACATCCTCTATTTTCCTTTCAATTCTTCTTTTAAGTATCTTTGCTATTATCTTTGCTGTATGTGCAATAAGACTTATTGTGCGATGGTCGCTGCATTTTGTAGCTTTTGTCTTTTTCTTTAAGGCAATCATTGTAACTTCTGTAAAGTCCTTGGGCCACTCTCCACTTTCATATATGGTGTTCATTAGTTTTGTCAGTGTTTTCAAACCACCTTCTCCCAGTAACTTGAGCACATCTCCAGGTACATCATCATCTCCTGTAGCCTTTCCCTTCCTCATTTCCTTGATAGCTTTTTCCACCTCACTTTGTAAAATATATGGTCCTTTCTCGTCTGTATCTACTTCTTCTTCCGGTTCAACTTCTAAGGTTTCTGGCCGATTAGGTCGATCATATAGTTCTGAAATATAATTTTCCCAAATTTTCAGCACTTGCCTCTGATCTACTATTCTATTCCCCTGGGAGTCTTCGATGCCAACATTTTGAATCCCATGATTCTCTTTCCATCCTAGTTCTTTTGTCTTCATGTACATCAAATCATAACGGCCTGTTCTTTGAAATTCCATAATCTCATTACATATCTTCTCAAGATATTCCTTTTTGGCCCTGTCCGTGGCTCTTTTCAATTCATTCCTCAGTCTCCTGTATTTCCTCCTGCCTTCTTCATTGTTGACATTCTTCCATTTCCTTCGCTCCTCCATTTTACTCATCATCTCCTGTGTAACCCATGGTTTTCTTGCTATCTTCTCAACTTTACCTACCAAATCACTGATAGTATCTAACATGCATTCTTTTATATCGTTCCACAGCGCTTCAGCATTTCCACTTTCGCCTTCAATTGCACCAAGTTTCTCTTCTAGGGTCTCTTGCACGCTTTGTCTTTGAGCATATAACTTCTCCAAATCCCATCTGGGTCTGCGCTTTCGAAATCCTATAATTTTCTTCAACCTGGTTCGGAACTTGGCAACCAGCAAGTTGTGGTCAGAGTCAATGTCTGCCCCAGGAAGCGTCTTCACATCCTTCACACTGTTTCTGAATCGATGTTTCACAAGGATGTAGTCCAGCTGATGCCTCTTCCAATCCCCAGGTGCCTTCCATGTGTAAATTCTTCTCTTTGGCTTCTTGAACCAAGTGTTGGTGACAATCAGTCCATTTCGTTCACAAAAGTCAATAAGCATTTGACCTCTGTGATTCCGTCTTCCTAGTCCATGTGATCCAACAATATTCTGATATGGTTCATCTCCAACAATGCTATTCCAGTCTCCCAATATGATTCTGTTTGTGTCACCTCTTCCATCTTCCTGAAGAATTTCTTCAATTGTGTCATACACTTTTTCCACTTCATCATCTTCATACCCTGATGTTGGCATGTACACTTGTATAATCAGTATATCTACCAGTTCCGCCTTTAACTTCAGAGCAATAATTCTGTCATTACAAACAATCTTAACAACACTCCTCACTACACTTTTATGCACCACTATTGCCACACCTCTTTCAGCCCGTTCACCTCCGGAATAATACACTGTGTAATCACCACTTCTTATTTCACCTTGTCCTTTCCACCGCACTTCGCTGACACCTAGAACAGACACCTCATTCTTCTGCATTTCCATTTTCAAATTCTCCAATTTGCCTGCTTGATTCAAGGTCCTTACATTCCATGTTCCAATCTTGTAGCCATGATGTTCCTTCTGATCTTCGAACTGTTGTAACGCCTGCATGACATTTCCTCTAGATACCCTCCCCCCCCCCGGAAATCTGATTGGGGGAGTAGACAGTGCTGTACATGAAAATTTATTTATTTTTTTCCATATGTTATAATTATGAATGTCCGAATTTATTGCCATAGAAGCCTTGTATTTTGTGATAAAGCATGTCACCTCCAATATATACAGAGAAGGCAATGTTAAAACATTTTAATCTTTAAAAATTTGTCTACATGACGTGCGACTACTAGTACCACTATTCACTTGAAGAACCCGCTTTTGCAATTTAAAAATGCTTTTGCTTTCCCTATCCCCACCCCACAATAAGATACTATTTCTCATACATGACTCAAAATTCGAAAAATAAATCATTTTTATCATATATGAACTCATTATTTCTTTTAATATTTTCACCATATAAATTACTTTGCATAGNAGCTTTGCTTTTGGAAATTGCGCATGAGCACACCATTTTAAGGTTTCTGTCATGTGAATTCCAAGAAATCTCAGTTCTGACTGATATACTATTTCTGTATTATTAAAAAACTAGTTGTGGTCTTAACGGATCTCTTCACTGTTTTGAATGAAATGACATGGCAGATGTCTTTTTAGTATTTATTATAAGGTTATTTTTTTGAAAACATTTTTCTAATTCTTTCATAACGTTCATTATTTTATATTGAAGGTCAAGTTCATCTTTTCCAGTAATTAACAAATTGGTATCGTCTGCATATAAAACCAGCTTTGCTCCTTGAACATTTTCTGTAAGATTATTAATGTATAGCAAAAATAAAAGTGGCCCCAACACTGAACCCTGTGGTATACCATACTTTACTTTCCTACATGGTGAATTATAACTGGTTTTGACACTGCCGTCACTGTCTTTTATTTCTACATATTGGAGTCTGTTTGACAGGTAAGACCTGAACCACATGTTTGGCACCCCTCTTATGCCATATGAGTCTAGTTTCTCTAAAAGTATATCATGGTCTATTACATCATATGCCTTTGATAAATCAAAAAATAATCCTATGGCATATCGGCCGTTATCTGAGGCCTCCTGTATACTTTCAATAAAAGACTGACTTGCTGTGTCAGTTGATTTATTCTTTCTGAAGCCATTTTGGGCCTCTGTTAATATATGATTTTGAATGAAAAAAGGCATTAGCTTATTATACATTAATTTTTCTAATATTTTGGAAAAGACCGATAAAATGGATATCGGTCTATAGTTTTTAATATCATGATATTCCCCTTTTTTATGCAGAGGTATCACTTTAGCTAATTTTAATCTTTCTGGGAAGATGGCTGAGCTCAATGAGACATTGAAAATATGAGGCAGTGGTCTTTTTACATAATTTATACATTTTTAACAAGATATTCTGGTATCTCGTCATATCCTGCAGATAATTTACCTTCTAGACTATTTGTTAACACACTATTTCATGTCCAGCGACTGGATGGAAAAATATGGTATTAGGGCAGCATTTTAGTCTTTGTTTCTGCCACTGTGTGTTTTTGTTATTTTTGTTGTTTTGACTTAAAAGGTCATCAACTATTTCAACAAAGAAATTATTTAACATATCTGCCACACTTTGCGGATCTGATATTATTTTTGAACTGCTAAACAGTTGGATTTTCTTATCACCTTTACATGACTTACCAACTTCATTTTTTATTAAATGCCACATAGCTTTCATTTTATTTTGATACCTTGTAACATACTTATCATTTGCTATTTTGTTTGCTTCTTTTATAACAATCTTATAATTTTTTTTATATCTGGTGATATATTCCAGCATGTCCCTTGACAGATTATGCTGTTTTTTAAAACCATTTAACAGTCTCATCCTTTTACCAGAATTTTTATGCCTTGGGTAATCCATTGGTTTTCCTTGTCATTTTCATATAAACAGTCTTTTATGGAAATGCTATATTATAATAATAAAGTATAATGTCCATAAAATCATAAGACTAGCACTTGCATCTGAGATTGAAAAACTCTCCTGCCATAACTCCTTCTGCAATAAATAATTAAACTCCTGGATACCCTCTTTAGTAAACTGTCTTTTTCTGCTTATTTTAGGACCCCTCTCTCATCTATTTACATTAATCTTTAGTGTTTGTGCCAAGTGGTCCGAATAACCCAAGTCCAATACTGATGATGTGCATTCCAAAACTTGCTTGTTTGTTACTATAACATCTATCTGTGTTAAGGAATTCTTTGTGACCCTGGTTGGGGATGTAATTATGTTGGCCAAATTATACAACTGAAGCAAATTTTTTAGTTGTCATACTCCCTATTTCATAGGGAAATGAGTGTTAAGGTTGCATAAATGGTGGGAAAGTTCTTAGCTCCTGAAGAAGGAATCAGCCCTATAAAGTAGGTTTTTTACTTTGGAATTAATTTCACGCTTATTTAATGGACATTTGACTGATATGTAATTACACAGATTAATATGAATTCTTACTGTTATATTCTTATTACTGTTTTTTTAGATCATCAATTTCCATCAGTCACAGAAGATCCTGACTCAACAATGGAAATTTCACCACCCCAGCAACAGTAAGATGAAAGAATTTCATTTTTAAATCTCTTCCATGGTTTGTGGTGGTCGTAACTAGGCTCAGCATCAGCCCTGACATGTATATAATTTATTGTTATCTCTACATGCTTACAGTTTTTGCAGATATTATTAGCATGTATTAAATTTTCACACCACTTCTGAATACTGATAATGTTTTTATGGGAGTGTTTTAATTTGACACAATAAGAGTATATTGCTTGGTTCAGAAGATGTATGAAGTTTCAGAGGCTAGCTTAATGTCTGTCTTCAGGAAAAGTCAAGGTACCTACCCTATGGGACTTAGTGGGAAAGGCAAGTCACATCACTAAGTGCCAGAGCTATGTAAAGTAATCTCTGGCATGAAAGCATCAGAAGGAAATAGCAGAAGGTTAAATATGTTAAATTTAATTCATTCATTAATTTTTATTTGGCATTCATAATTGCTACAACAGTAACACTTGAACAAGTCACATCATTAAATACATCATTATTGAAATCCTTTTGCTTGAATGCCTATCGGATTAGAATTTGTCAACAGTAATAGTCACTCTTGACATGGTTAACCTAGAATTAAAATATAACACACACTATCAAAACCAGATAAATAATCAAATTATATATAATACATAAATCAAAATGCAAGTTAACCTTATGAGTTTATCAAGAGAATTTTAAGAGTATTAACAGTAAATCAGCAGCCTTACATATGACCATGTCAATCACTGAACACATTAAGATATTACGAGCAACCATTTGTTATCTTATTTCAATTGCTGACTTTAGGTTTTGCTACTCTTCAACACTGAAGATGGAGGATGTACATTGCCTCTGAAACATGAGTGAACTTCTACACTTCAAGGTGTAACGTTCCAGATGTTTGTACTGTTCAAGACTCTGATATTCCATGTGGTGTACAGGTCTGATACTGGAGGAAGTTTAAAAGTACTCATAGCAAAAACAAATCAGACAGGTATTCTTTTCTGTTCCCTGAAGACGAAAACAGATCCAGCTTATAACATTATTCATATATTTTTAATAGAGACAATGGACAGTGTCTAAAGGTAATATTCCCATGGCAAATTTAATCACAAAAATGTTGAATCATATTACTTTTCACATCAAAAGTACCGATGCTGGCTTCACACAAAAATTAAGAGCCATCTTAGTTGGTAATTTAAACATTCACTATTACAATCAGTGCATCACGTAACTTTCGTTTTAAACATCCATTTATAATTCAACCTTCAATAAATTTGTTTATTAGAAAAGTTATTTAAATTAATAAATGTATTAATAGCTGTTATATGATGTAACAACTTGAGATAAATAGAACCAAGCATGAAATCGTTCATGGCTGAACCCAGTAACAAATACATTTGTTAGCCTGAATGTCTTACAGCATGTAGTTAGTTAGTTTATCTCCACTCTCTGAATTTTGCGATTAATTTCTTTTCCTTCTATCTGAAGACTAATTATTAATCTATCAGAAGTCTTTGGTATTTGAGGTGCAGAATTTTTAAGAGTTGTCTTTACAACTAAAAATGTAGAAACGGTTGTCTTGTATTGGACAGATGTGACTGGACATATATACAGTGGTTGAATCACTGAATTTATAAGTACTCTAGTTATACTTTAAAATTTCCTTGTCACTTTATCAATAGAAGTAGGAAAGACATCTGCCCCTGTTTTTATGATTTAATCTTTTTGCACTAATTTAAGTGAAAGAATACAAGAGCCTTTTTACTTAAGAATTTTACTAATCATTTAAAATTTAAAACCAGTCAAATCAACATTTAATCTTTTATATAACTGGCTACTCAAATATGCTCTTAAAGATGTCAGTCTTGTTACGACCTTGCATGTGTAGCTATTTAACTGTTTTGCAAAGTATTTGTTTTAGTATGTGTGTTCTATGTTCTTTGTTTCTCTTTGGTCTTTAGAACAGTTGGATTCCAAAATATTAAATGACTTCTGTGGTTTAATGGATCCCTTTAACTTATAAAAAAATATATGTTGTGTGTTTTAAGCAGTCAGTTTAAGACTTTACAAACCTTGCGTAGGTGAATAAATTGCAGACGAAGTTGATAAATTATATTTACATTGATTAAAGCATTAATAAGTTAAAAGTACTTTGTAAATGGCGCTGTTTTTAGTTTTCGTATCTCAGAAGAGTTTCTGCTTGTTCTCTGGTTTATTACCTGATTTTCTCATCGATTTAATCCAGCACTTAAAAATCTCATCATTTTATAATGACATGTGTCACATTTTTCATTGTGAACATTCTAAAGTATTTCGAAACTTCCGTGAATATAAGTATATCAAGATTACAGTCTTCAAGGATTTTTTTTGTGTTATGCTACATCGATTACAACGGAATTGACTGTAACTCCAGTGAAAGAAGATAGTGTTCATGCTTGAAGAGGAAGCCAGCTGTTCTAGGTAAGAATTTAAGATAAACAAAACTCTGTTTGAACAGTCAGTGATGCACTGTTCTTCTATGAAAGTCTTACATTTGTAAGTATATAGTGACATAGGTGTATGAAAATGACTACCAAAATTGCTTAGAAAATTAGAAGTTTGGCCATGGTCTTCTGGGTTGGGACACTGAGTTGTATTGTACATGGGTACCAACACTTTGAAGGAAGGTGCTGCCCCATCTTCAGGCTCATAATAGGAGCCCTCTGGCCTCCATCTTCTCCCCCCCCTACCATGAGTCTGACTGTTCAAGTTTCTTGCAACCTGCACATATAATCTATCACAGCATTTCCTTTGACTCTGAAAATGGAGGCAGCTGGTTTCTCTGAAGCATTAGTGCCCATCTACAATACTACATGGTATCATAATCCAGAAGACTAATAATCATAACACCACCGTGAAGACCAGGAAACATATATAAATATATATAAATGGATGTTATTAACTGAAACCAGGATAATTAACATGGGAGCCCATAAGGGTCATGTCATTTATCCAATAGGCTAAACATAGTACGAACATTGTTGTTTAATTATTAGAATGAGGGTTCTAATAATATTTAGGTATGCAGTGAAGGCTGTATTATGTCATAAACTATTCAGTTTAAGAGAATTCATTTGTTTATCTTTTTGTTTAATATGAAATTTTGTTTTCAAGCAAAATAATCAGAAATTTTAATATGCTGCTTGGGAATTATTTACTTCAGAGATAGATTCATTACCAGAAAGTATAATGATCAATAAACTCTCATCTGTACTTCTTAAATGACTTGCAGTCTATCACAGTGAACATAAATGTGTTTTCACAAATTAGCATTTGAATGTTTTAGAGTAAGAATTTGTACTTGCATCCCACAGATTTGTTTTCAGCCATGTTAATGTTGTAGATAGTGTACAAGTATCCATTGATTCACAATGGTAATTTATTCCATGAAAACGTTTTGTAAGGTGAAATATTTATAAATCAGAAATTAAATTTCCATTACTTTATATGTGAAGTGACTTAACTCGCAATTGTAAGTTATTTGTTGCAGTAAAGGTGTAGTTTGGTAAGTGAAAATGAAGTATAAATTTGGTCTGTCTACTTCTGGCTATCAGTAACATCTTTGTACAGCTTTGCACCGGATGCAGGATAGCAACTTATTCAGTGGCCATTTTTTTTTAGGAAAACAGATATAAGTCATTGTATACTCATTGCAAGAAATGATGAAATGACCTTTACCTGCACAATTTTCCTTAGGCTAAGTGAAAAGTTCAGGTTATATTTACGGATTGTGTTCACATATACTGGGTTTAAATCATATTATGCAGTGTATGGTGGAAATTACTTGAACACTGCATCACTGAGGCATACTTGTATAGAATCTTGTATTAGTGTAGCATGTCTGTGGCTTAACCATGCAATACTTGTACGTATCCTGTATTTTACAGAGTTTTAGCAGACAATGTATACTGGTCTGGCATAAGTTGAATTAAGAGTAGAGAGCTAGTGAAGTTGGAAGCCAGCGGGTTTTAAGTCGCAGTTATAGTTTAAAAACGTCAGTTGCATCAAATAATTCCCAAGTATCCCATCCCGACGTTGATTCCCATGTTTAATGACATCATAATTCGCAGAAAACAGCTGAATAGATTTTGACAGGTCTTGAGGTTTCCTTGAAAAGATGTTCCTGAAGTCCATATTTTGCCACTGTATGTTCTAGAACATCGTTACAGGAATATCATCCGTTCCGCCAGTGGAAACAGGAATGATAATGTTCTCAACAGACGATTTCATGCAGCGTTTTCTCTCCCTGCCGGCAATCAGCTTGGAATACTGCGTAGTTTGTTTCCTCCCGCTTTCTTACACATCCGTTAGGTAGAAGGGGGACGGGATGTCTTGGATAGGGGTGTCGCCTGTTCGGTCTTGTGAGGATGCCAGGTGGTGATCTTACGCGTCATTCTCTATACCGTCTTTTACCTCGGCCGCCCTCACCTCCTTACTTCGATTGTATTCAGTACATTTGCTGCCAGAAAGACTTGTCAACAGCTGCTAGCTTGCATTGCTGCTGATAAGAATATAATCTCGTGAATTTCTTGTTCGTTGTCCTTCCTGGCTGGATCCATGACTTGTTTCTCGGCTTGGGGTATAAATGGAGTGGTCTTCGACCAGGGAGGGAAGTAGCTGCGCAAATCAGTAAAAGACCCCGTGGAATTACCGATACATGATACAAAGGAAATTGTTATGATTCAGGTTTTGGAGTTCTTTAGAATATTTATTATTGGGAACGACAGTTAAATCGCCTTAAAGCAATGCAAATAGCTTCCTTAAAATAGAGCGCTCTGGTTCGATGTTGATGGCTTCAACCCCCCATTTCCACATTAGCTTTGATACTCTATTCTCTACAGCCTTTTGTTGGGCCTTGACCACTTTTTTTTAATGTTCTTAATCTGTACACAGTCTGTAGGACTCCTTGGACGGAGGATTACGTACCTCGGCACTAGTTGGAGGTGACTTGTCAGCTTCACGCCCCTGCCGATTTGCCCCG